TGTGATATCTTTCCTTTTGCTTTAAGTATGTCTTTTAGGATTTCCTTTGATAAAAATCTGTTGGTGATATACTCTCTGGTACTTTATTTCATTCTCATTCTTGAAAGATATTTTTGATGGATATGAAATTCTTGTTTGGCAGGTACTTTCTTCCAGTGTATTTACAATAGCATTCTATAGTCTTTTAGCTTCCATTGTTGCCGTTAAGAAGTTAGCAGTCTCTTTATCTGTTGTTCCTTAGAAGGAACTCTTTACCTCTTAAAATCTGCCTGCTTTTGTGATTTGTATTTTGCCTTTTTTGTCTTATAGTTTCCTTATGATAGAATAAGTGTGGGTTTCTTTTCACTTATTTTGCTTGGGTTTTGCTGACCTTGACTTTGTGGGTTGATATCTTTTATCACTTCTGCAAAATTCCTGTCACGATCTTTTCAAATACTGTCTTTATTTCATTTTCTTTCTCTTTTCTTTCTGAGATTCTGATCAATGAATATATGGTAGAGCTTTCAGTCATTACTCTGTCTTCTATATTTCTTAATACCTCTTCCATAATTTCAATTATTTTATATTCTAAATGATTTATTTTGACCAATTCACTACTTCTCCCCTTAGCTGTGTCTAATTTGCTATTAAACCAACCATTAAAGCTTAAATTATAGTGATTGTAGTTTTTATTTCTAAATGTTCTATTTGGACTCTTAAAATCTTCTAGGTATCTTTGTAAAGTTTACCAATCTCTGCAGATATTTTTAATTTTATTCTTAATTCTTTAGACACAATAAACATTGCTTTTCTGTAATTGGTATCTGATAGTTCCAATATCTGAAATATTTGTTTCTGGTATTTGTTTTATTGGTTCTCACCCATGGGTTCTTGTTTCCTTGTTAGCTTCATTATTTTTCAATGTGTGATGCTTATTGCTCTTGAAAAGTTAGTAGGAAAAATTTGAACCTTAGGATAATGGTACCTTTCTCCAGAAGGGATTTGTGTGCGTGTATGTGTGTGTTTTGCAATGCCTTTGGGTACTGCTAGTCTTGAGTCATTTTGAACTGAATTTATAGATCAAAGTGTGGATCACCAAGGTGATATGAACCTGGGCTGCAAATGTATGTGAAGCCAGCCCATGGTCACAATCTTGAAGGGCAGGTCTTTTATGCTGATTTTCTCTGCTCTGTTCAGCAGAGAAATCCCTGCAGTCCCTACTGGGGAGAGGGGTACAGATAGATGCACTTTTGGGTATAGCCTTTGGGATCCTAATTAATGTGATCTCTTATTAGATTTCCACCTTGGGAGCTTGGATTTTGATTTCTGAACCTTTTGCTCAACAAAGTCTGCCAAAAACAAAGTTCATTTTGGGCAAAGTTGCAAACACCCTGAAGGAAACAGAGGTGTTGGCTCAGCTTGCTTCTCTAGAATCCCCCTTTCCATGAGGTTTTGTTTTTTACTATCTTGTCAACTCTTTCATGGTTTTAAGCAATGAAAAAAGTT